GCTGCCATGCTCACGAGAAAGTCTTAGTTATGACCAAATCTCTGCACATGCTAATCATTTCAGTGTGTGGATATTAGCACTGATCTGCATAGAAATGGGCCAATGTTATGCCACATGTATGCAAATTCCCTGATTTATAAACTGGCAAACAGCAATGGAACGCCACTATTTGCTTGCAGCACAGCTAGGCGTTCATTTTATGCTTTTAGAGGCGCTTAGAGATGTACCTTGACTCCTTCGGTCTCATTTGTGCAAACAAAGCAATCGTTTTTTTAATTTACCCCTTAGTGTTCATGAGCATATTAAATAGCTACAAACGTGTTCTTTAGAATCCTGAAAGGCATAAGATTACAGCTCATGCAAAGTATTTTGTAAACTGCAGTGACAGTGTACTCCTTTAAGCCTCTAAAACGTTTCCGAGTTGGCTCAAAAGCTTCATGTTTGCATTAGATTTAAAGTTATCACTCTTGTTCTGTTTTTTGTTTATTTATGTGAGGTCATTTATGAGATAAATTATCAAGAAATGCAGAGAGTAGCCCGGTAATTTTTATTCCTGTTCATGGGAATATAATGTGGCATTTTTGTCATAAATTCTGCAATTTCTCTGATGAAGCACAACGTGGTGTAAAATGGAAAATAAATGTGACAAATTAGATTAACATTATTCTTCATTTTACTACGGTCTGACTTTTTTGCAAGCAACGTCATAAGTTCCTCATCACTTCTTAGGTTTTCCCAGGAAGTGAGGTGCTGTACCATGTGACATAATATTATTAATTACAGTGACACTTTCTGAACACTTGCTTTCTTGTAAGCATACCACTTCTCAATTTCAGTAGCTGTTGGAAACTCATTTCCAGCCAATATGATTTGTTGCAGCATGAATTATTTTCTCTTACTTAATGTTCTCATGATCGCTGCTTCTTTTCACGATTGACTTGTTTCTGGAGCAGTTTTTAAGATGGCATAGTACATCATTAACTGATCATCAGAAAGAGAGTGTTTATGGCATCAACAAGTGACACTGAGTAATAATAAGCAGGAACCGACTAACCAGATAAGATCAAGATATTGTGTTGATTGTAAATGAAAACCTATCATTAGAATGGAGATAAAAAAAGGTTGTGAAGTTCATGTGTGTATGTCAAGTATGTGATGACAGCTATTTTCTGTTTCAGTCTGGGACAAGTTTCCATGTGTTTGACCAGGGACGCTTTGCCAAGGAAGTTCTGCCAAAGTACTTCAAACACAATAATATGGCAAGCTTTGTCCGACAGCTCAACATGTGTGAGTACACGTTCCTCATCTCCTCTGTACTCTTCGCTCAACAGCAGTATGTATTTTTACTTTGTGTGTGTATGTATGCTTTTAACGTGTGTGTCTAGATGGTTTCCGTAAGGTGGTGAACATTGAGCAGAGCGGTCTGGTGAAGCCTGAGAGAGACGACACAGAGTTCCAACATCTGTACTTCCTCCAGGGCCATGAACACATGCTGGAACACATCAAGAGGAAGGTATGGACACGTACACAAAGTCTCAAAGATAGAGTGATCATGAAGTGCTTCAAAATAATTTAGAAAGACATATTTGGAGATTTGGAGAAATTACCTAAGCTCAATCACAGTGACATAAGAAGCATGTGCAGGCTGTTCAAGGTTGATTGGTTAATGTGCTCTGTGTGACTTTAGAAGTGATTCATCTCTAAACATGACCACCCCTTTCTGTAGTCCACAGTGTGTGAAGTGATGTCAAAAAGCTGTATGTAGCTTACTAAACCCGGCAGGAACTACTTTGCTAATTCGACACATTGCATGATAATCAGGAGAACTGCATAATTGAAAGGAACAAGAACATACTTTCCGGAGCCAACTGAACTACTGTTGCACTATAAAAGTAAAAAACGTGTGATCTGTAAAAATGGAATTTCAGACAGGAATTGAAACCCTACCTGTCTAGCAAGAAATATATATTTGTATTTAAATGGCATTGGATTACTATATTTTCATTGGATTTCCTGGAAAGATATCTTAGCAAAGGAGCATACAAATGATTTTACTTTCATTACGACATGCAGTGGTAGCAGTCTAAGTCGAATGCCAATATGCTTTGATTTAGAAAGTACTTAGCATGTGGACTGGCTGGGTTTTGCATATCATCATAAGCTTGTTAGCGATGACACACCTAATGCTGATGGAAAACAATCATTTTGAAGTATATGTACATGGATATAGCCAATTTCCTATACATTCCGCCAATATTTGTTGAGACATTACACTCATAAATGTCAACGTAAGATTGCCGCGAGAGAAAAAGTCAGGGGATCACATAAGAAATTAGGGTTCAACCTCTGGGGACCATGACTCAGCAAAAATATTATCAATTAATGCGAAAGGTTATTGAGACAAAAGGGGTAAACCTTTGCTCTCATGGGAGCTGTACTGCCAGTGTGGCTAACATCTCCAGTGAGTTTACTTGCTCACAAACACAGCAGAGGGAATATGTGGTTGTTGTCTGAATAACTTACCAAATAAGGCTGTACTGTGTGTTTAGGTATCCATTGTGAAGAGTGAGGAGACCAAAGTTCGTCAGGAGGACCTCAGTAAACTGCTGTATGAAGTCCAGCTTCTCAGAACACAGCAGGACAACATGGAGTGTCAGATGCAAGACATGAAACAGTGAGTACAGATATGTTGTTTGTGTTCCAATACCCGACCCGGCCCTAAGCTACTGCCCCGGGGCCCCAAAACCTCAGGAACAAGTTTAGTTATTGTCAGGATGTTGTATATTGTTCCGTTAGTTGCAAATGGGAATTAGGAGTTTAGGAATGTGTAAAGCGACCATCACAAGTCCTGGGTTATTTTATTATCTTAAGGTCCTATTTTGTAGGGGCCTAGTTTAAAGACCTTGATTATTTTGGTTATTATTTAGTTTGTGTTAATTTAATAGATAACTGGTTGGTGTCTTGGTAAACATTCAAATGTGTGATTCAGTATGTGAATGCAAACTAATTTACATACCAATCTGAAAAAAAGTAATTTAATTTGACGGTTAATTGTGTCCACTGATTAAAACATTTTAAGCCTGACTATGACTTGTTTTAAATGGCCTTATGGTCAATATTTTGTTTGTCTTTTGTAAAGAACATATAGTTAAGAGGAGTTCAAGTTTACATTCAGTCGGTCTGTCAATTAATCCTCTAAATTGGAGCAAATCATCCAGTGGATGGACTTTTTCTCTGGGGCTTTTGTTGCTGAAAATAGCTGCTATGTGTCTATTGTTTGATGGAGCTGCTTTGTGCTCAGTATTGTTTGCTAATGACAGGAGAGAATGTTCACCTGCTCACCTGACTCACACACACAAACACACACACATTTTTGTAGACGTGGACAATGCCATATTCCGCCACACAATTTAGTCTTTAGTATATTGTGCAGACATGATACAAGTTTTCTACTTCTGAATATATAAATATATTTAGAATTGATATAGATATATTGCACAGTAGATCGCTTGCAAAAGGGTGATGATAAACAAAGAAATGTTGGAAGTGAGCCTACCATACCGCTGTTGCTCGCTCCTTACTTCAGCTTTAGGGTTACGGCTCAATGCTACATTAGGTGCTACTAGTATAACATACCTGAATGTCTTACCAACTGGTTGATGAAAAAAACGCAAACGAAAGTGATGTTCAACTAAATGCATATAAAACAAGCTATGTGTTAGGTAAGACACTTCCAAATCTTAACCAGGTTAAAATTAAGATTTGAGCGATCACCTCTTATAAATGTTTTTCTCCTCTTTGCAGGCAGAATGAAGTCCTGTGGAGAGAGGTGGTCTCACTGAGACAGAATCACACACAGCAGCAGAAAGTCATGAACAAGGTCAGTCTTTACGAGTGTAAGTTTGTGGGTCTGAACTATAGGTCGTACCAGTATTAAAACAAGGGAGATTCTCTGGAACAACTTTAACAGTCATTGGTGTGTTCAGAAGATCTATGTGTGTGTTTGTATATTGTCTGTGAATATAAGAGTGTATGTGTGTGTATATACTACTACTATCTATCATTTAAGGATTACTCAGGAATAACATTTCAGTGGTTTTATCACTTCTTCTGATACCTCTGAAAGAAATTATTTTATATACATTATCTGCAAATTGTCCTGCAAGCACAACAAAGGGAGCCTTTTTCATTATGTACCAACTCTATGTTTTAACATGTTTAAAATCAAATAGATGTATGCTCCTTATAGTGTTAGTCTTGTTTTGTCATATAGATTAAATGTATTGTCTTGTAGGACGAATTGTGTTTTTTTGGGTCATTCAAGTTATTGTCCTTTACCGTTTTGATGTATTTAGAGAAGGACAAACTGTGTGTGTGTGTTTGTATGTGTGTGTGTGTGTGTGTGTGTGTGTGTGTGTGTGTGTGTGTGTGTGTGTGTGTGTGTGTGTGTGTGTGTGAGAGGAGGATGCTGATTCATGCTGTGCTTTTTCTCTCATTGCCAGCTGATTCAGTTTCTGTTCAGCCAGATGCAGTCCAACACACCCAGCACTGTGGGCCTGAAGAGAAAGCTGTGAGCACACACACACACACACACACACACACACACACACACACACACACACACACACACACACACACACCACACACACACACACACACACACACACACACACACACCTCACACACACACACACACACACACACACACACACACACACACACACACACACACACACACACACAGGGCCACAGTAGGGCAGAGGGAAGGGCTGGCTCAGCTGACAAACTGAACAATCTAACTCAACAAGGGCTGTGAATGGAGACAAGTGCTGAATCAGTCAGTCAGACACACACAAACACACACATTAACACACAGGGAAGGCAGAGCAGTGTGCATGACCCTGTGTGTGAAAAATGCTGGTTCAGCTTTGTTGCTGAGTGGGAACAAGGCCGTCATGAGAAAGGAAAGGCACGCTGGAACACAAAAGTACAATAGAAACGTATATTTCAGAGTCATTGTGCGACCTGGCAAAGGTGCAATTTTACCCTATGTTTTAATGATAGTTATTTTCGGCCTTACCTTTTAACATCTACCCACACTAATAACTCACTCATCCATCACTCCAACCCCTGTCATTTACTGTCACATCTCCACATGGAATATTTAAAAAGCAAAAAGGTAGCATAACAAACTTCTGTTAGGACACTTGTCTATTCAGAATATCAGTGTCAACATATTGATGTTTAGCAGATTCAATGTTTACCATGTACATTCTTTGTTGGGCGGGCTAGCGAGCTAATATTTCCTAATTAAGCAATGCTGTTAAATACCAACTTATACAAATTCATGGTAACTTGTTTATTGTTTTATTTAGAGGAAGTAGAGATACACACTTAACTAAATCCAACATGTTAACCAAAAATTATCAATCTAAACCAATGCCCACTCAAAACTGCTTAAATGCATTATTACTTTCATGATAATGACTTATATCCTTTAAAAACAAAGTTGTAATTGAGAGAAAACTATTGTTCCCTTCAGGCCCTTGATGTTGGACGATGGCTCTCCCAGCCCTCCTGCCTCCAAGTTCAGCCATAATCACCCAATGGAGTCCATGCATGAGCCCTTCTACATCCAGTCGGTGAGAAAATAAGAAATTGTTACATACAGAGATGGGAAACTAAGTAAATTAACTCAAGTACTGTACTAAAGTACAATTTTGAGGTATTTTAATTGTCTTGCTACTTTTTACTTCTACTCCACTACAACTCGGAGGTTAATAGTGTACTTTTACTCCATTAAATGTATTTAACACCTTTAGTTACTTTACAGATCTGGATTAATTACATTATGTTACTTGTTAGACGCTTTTATCCAAAGCGACTTACATACTCAATACTGTGGGCAATCCCCACAGGAGCAATTTGGGGTGAAGTGTCTTGCCCAGGGACACAACGACATGCTGACTGCAGTGGGGTTTGAACCTGTGACCCCCTGGTCCGAACACCAACACACTAATCCACTGTGCCACACATCACGATTAATGATGTGAATTACTGTATAATCAACACTTAAATAAGACTTTAGTTACAAGCTACCCTGCAGTAAACAAAGTCATTCAAACTAGCTACACTGTTACCAGCTTTGAGAACACTTTAATGATCAATAATTATAATCAAAACATATCATATATATTATTCTGAAATGGACCAATCTGCATAATGAGTACTTTTCATTTTGGTTGGCTATTTTGATTGCAGGACTTTTACTTGTAACCGAGTATTCCTATATTCTGGTACTTCTACTTTCACTCAAGAACAAGATCAGAGTACTTCTCCCACCTCTGGATACATAGAATGTATACCACTGTGCTTCATAACCCCTAAAGTCTAATTAACATACATCAAAATGGTAAAATTACCTTCATTACGAAAACTAAACCTTTTGTAGAATGACCTGTGCTTTGCAGCCTTTGTCAGTACCAGAGCATAATAAGTAAGCTATTTATCTCCTGACCTGACCTACCACATTCAGATCAAATGTTGCTGGCAGACAAACACAGTAAACATAAAGTTACTGGATGGCCTTTCTAAGTGCTTTGCCGTGTCCGTGATTTACCACAGTATTTATTAGACAGATAAGATATCATTCAGCAAATAAAAACATTCATTTTAATCTGTTCTTTAATCATGCTCTTTCCACTACATCACAGACAATATATTATCTGGACATGCTGCTATCAGTTTATCTGTTATGTTGCATCACCACTAGAGGGAAGCAGAGCACAGTGACATCGTTTGATGGCCGTACCTTAGATGTGCTGTGCAGTGTACATTATTGCAGGCTGTACAAACTAAAGCCTTGGATTGAAGCAAATTCATATTTGTGTAAAGTGGTTTGTAAATGATAATTACACAAGGGAACCATACTGCCCTTCACTTGATACCATTTTTAGACTTTTGTTCCCTCCCTGATGAACTGGCATAACGTATAATAAAATGCCGATACTGGATAAGATATATGGAAAACACAGTATGCTAGCTTCAATTAAAGAGTGTTCTCCATATTAATTAGTTTGTTTCAGAAAGGAACTATATTTTAATAACATTTTCATATCCCTAATATCTTGTATATTTGAATGATATTCAAAACTTTAGCTTAACCACAACAAATAAGCTGAGATAGCAACCACTCCTACTCTGCTAGGCTTGTAAGTCAAACTAGTTTGGCTATTTTTTGTTTTGTTTTAGTTTTCTTATCCATCTTAAATCTGGATGTAGCTATGGTGAACATCAATCTGAATGACCAAAACCATGTGAGATCATTAAAAGGTATATTTTTTCAATTACAGAGAGAGCTGGGGAAATAGGCTAAGGCTATAGCTAAGTCTAGTTTGTTGCAATGTAACTTGACACCAATGCTTTGGATCAACACATTGGGCCCAATGAGAGAAATGTTGGCAGAGGAGAACCCACACAAGATCATCAAACACACAACAAAGTAATCTTTTTCTTTTCTTTCCCAGCCATCCAATGATACTGCTTCTTGCTCTGCTAGTGGGCTGACAGGAGGACCAATCATATCTGATGTTACTGATATGTCTCAGGCCAGTATGGCCCTCCAGATGCAACCTGAAGAGGCCAGGTGAGTGATGCAAAATAACTTCACCATTGCTCATTGTAGGTAACCTCAAGAATCAGCTCCACATCTATTGCAGCATCTAATAACCCGCTATTGTGAAAGCGATCATTCATATTGGCAGGGGTGACTGATTGTTTTGCAGGTCAAATCCAGGCTACTCCGAGTCCTAATGTTATTATTGGTTATTCATCCATTTTGAACCACATGTTTTCCATATTGCAATTCATTTTTTGTAGACCACTGCATCGTTTTCACACGCACATACAAATATCTTTGGTGCAAAGACGCTTTGGCACTTGGTATTAAATGTTAGTTCTCTCCTACAACTTTATTGGGTGCTGTCCGATTGGTTCAGCCAAAGTGGATGGGGAAAGGAATTAATAGCGTTCATTAGCTCACCTTTAACAACATTTCTCCATCTTCATCCAACAGGGAGAAGTGCATGATGCTTATCAAAGAGGAGCCTGTGAGTCCAGGAGTGAGAGGAGCAGGAAAAGGAGGCAGTGTAGGCGCAGGAGAGGCCATAGCATTGAGCTCCTCCTGTGAAGTCTGCTCCTCTGAACCTCCTGTCCTCCCCGTCGCAATGGTCCAGTCTGTTCTGGAGGGGAGGGGCTCTGTGGCGTCCATGGTGGAGAGAAGGAGTAAGAGACCTGCAATGGACAGGTAGGCGTTCACACAGATCACAGGTGGGGCACATGGAGAATGCAATGTACACAGAGATGTTTGTACAGGTGCAGAAGTGATACAAGTAGGGAACAAAGTGACCCTTTGAGCCTGTGTTTATATATTAAGTATGTAAGTGTACGTGTGTGTGTTTGGTTTGCAGGGTGGAGGTTTCAGATGAGAATGTGGATATGAGCCTGGAGGAACTGCAACAGCTACTGCTCAGGAGCCATCAGCAGAATGTTGTGGAAGCTGGGACCAGCGCTGTTATGGATGTCAGTAGATCTGCACTATACAAATGGAAACCCACTTACAACTTGTTTTACTCCACATAGATTCATATTTGTCTGATATTTGAAACTTCAAATTGGTATTGGTGCCGGACTCTCCTTATACAGCACTCTAAATGAATAAAAGTTGTCTTACTAATGTGTCTCTCTCTTTCTCTTTTACTCTAGCCCTTCAGTTTAAGCCTGCCTCTGACTGAGTGGAACTTCACAGAGATGGAGTCCAACCTCAAATCAGTAAGTCATAGTGTGAGAGCTGTTTAACACGTGGACACAGTTTAGAAGAGGACATGTACATTGGATGAACCACTCCGTTAAACATGCAATGACAAGTCCACCTCAATATAGCATGATGGTTGATTTGATTGTTGTTGTTCTGTTAAGGCTTTCACAGTGTTTCTGTCTTAGAACTTTAACAATTCCACAGTGTGTTCAAGAAAGGTAATTGTAACATTTGGTCATCTGAAATCTATATATTTTTTAGCATATTGTTCTACTCTGCTTCCCCCTCTCATCACTTCTGGTTCCAAAAAGCCTGACAACTGATACACTCATCGCAAAGATACATTGATGTGGTTCACGCAAATAACACCAAAGTGCAGAAAAGTTTGACCAGGAGGAGGTTTTTTCAGCCCAGCTATCATATCGATTGTACACACGGCTCCCACTACGAAATGTACTTTCCCCCACAACCCTCTTCAGCAATGTACCCATTGCTGAACATCTATGCTAGCAAAGTATTCAATAATGTAATGACGTCCAATTTCGAAACACCTTGTATTGAAATGACAGGATGGTGAGGCTGTTCAATCTGTCTTGACATATTGTGGGCGTTAAATATTCTCTCATGTGGCTCACCTTGTGAAAAGCTCTATCACCGCCAGCAGCTGCCGCAGGAAGAGTGCAACAAATCCCACTGGTATACAGCACTTCTCCAAAAAATGCTTTGCAGCTGCATTTTGAAGATTGCTTTTAAAAGCTGAAGTAGAGAGATGTTAAGTGGGAAATTGGTTCCTTAGAATAATTTATAAACTGGTTCAAACTCATTTAGAGACGTGTTTGCCTGATAAGCCATTTGGAATGTGTCATCAGTGATCCCGAATATCAAACAGCAGCTACACTGTTAGTGTTGCCCATAAAGTTGGAATAATTTAGTTTTCACACACATTCCTCTTTTTATTCCTATTTAATTTTCACTGTGATATGATTGGAAGACAACGATCAATACCGTTTTTAAAAGATATACACTTTATCTATCAAGAATAAATCATATTGTCACAATCATTAAATGAGAAAAGGTAAAAAGTAATTTACGGTGTATTATAATACCATATATGATAAACTTGTGTTCTGCAGGGCCTTACTCCTGTCTTCTTTATTTATTCTAACATTAGATGTGTGAATTGAATGATTGTAACAACTAGTCACGACAAGCTAGTCCCAATGTTTGCGGTCGAGTCCTAATCAAGTCATAATTGGCTGTCCATATTGCAATTCATACAACCGCATTATTTCCGGATGCAATTTATTTCATACAAAGGCAAGGCAAGTTTATTTATATAGCACTTTTCAACACAAGGATATTCAAAGTGCTTTACAAAAAATGAAAGACATTAAGAAAATGGCATTTAAAATCAGTCATTAAAAAGAAAAAAGACACTTTGGCTCTCTTAAGATTGATTGTAATAAGATTGCAACTAGGTGAATCCCACAATACGATTTGTATTCCAAGAACAATTCTAAAATGATGATATCCTGTTGCATGGAAATTATTGATTTGTATTCCAAATACATATTTTCCTCAGTTTGTTACTTCCCAATACCATCAAAACATCTCTTATTGCGATGTAATGATTCATAACTAAAATGAAAACTTATGAATAAGCTTTTCTTAAAACATTGCACATGTTTGCGCCCTTTTTTTCACCATGCAGGGGTTAAGCCATTAGTAACCCATATACAAAGCACAGAGGCACATGTTTTATGTCTGATACCTTTCACTATATAAATGGTGGTTGGAGAGCACAGGGGAGGCACTTTGTTTTGTCTCCGGGGCAGGAATCAATACGCACTCCTGAGCTTACTCCATCACTCCACTCTAAGACACTGACACTTCTGTTGGTCTTGAGAATCTGCAGGATTTATTCAAGCGCAAACTCTACATTATTTTAATAATTTTCCTGCGGAGATTACACGCTTCTCAGTCCATTCAACACAGGCGATCATATGGTCATAATTGGTTTTAATTTTCAGAATATTAACTTTGGACATAACCGTTTTATAGAGAACCTCAATGCAACTCAATATATTTTTTCCCCACATCTATTTATAAACATATCTCTACCTTTTTCATGCCATATTTTAAAGGTCCCATGTCATGCTTTTTCGGTTATTACCCGTCCCCTTGTGTGTTATGTTGCTTTTTCTGCATGTAAACGGTCTGCAAAGTCACAAACCCTGAAAAGACCTGTCTATGCTGCCCCAGAACGCCTCGTTGGAGATTTTTATTTTTCCATTTTTTTCTTCCTGGGTCGTAGTGACGTAAGGGGCTAAGTGACGTAACGGCTACGCGGACTCACACACACACACACACACACACACACACACACACACACACACACACACACACACACACACACACACACACACACACACACACACACACACACACACACACACACTTATCTTTTCTCAGCCGCAGCTCCGCGGATTTCTCAGAATGAACTCAGCCTGAGACAGCGAGACACAGCGAGACACAGCAAAACTCAGCCTGAGCATACACACAAACTCACAGCCAGGCTACGAGTGTGTGTGTGTGTGTGTTCAGGCTGAGTTCAGGCTGAGTTCAGGCTGAGTTTTGCGTTGTCTCGCTGTCTCGTAGACCCCACGCAGCAACCAGGAAATTACACCAGTAATCCAGCTCACACTGTCCGCTCCTCGAGCCTCAAAGGGCGGAACAGCGAGCCCCGCAACGTCCTGCCAACACGGCACCCAGACCCCACGCAGCATTCTCATCTGTGTGTCATTACTGGTGTCATTTTCTGGTTGCTAACGCCATTGTAACACATAATCACTGATGTTCCGCTGTAACGGTGGTGGACTCATGCTCAGAACAGAGTGGGCGAGCTGACCAATCAGAGCACAGTGGGCTCATAGGGAGGGGGGGGCAGGAGCTCCAACAAGCCGTTTAGGACAGAGAGTGAATACACACACTATACAGAGATGCTGTATGAGAAACCAATGTGATTTTGGAACATTGAACAATGTAAATCTATTCGACCTCAACAATGGAATTATGGTCAGTAGAAATGGCCATGACATGGGACCTTTAAATTCCTCAAAACCAATTCATACATATCATTATCGTAATACAAACAGAAATGGCAATACTACAGTGACACACCTTATGTTGTGTATTTCAAGTTAGGATTCCTATCCAAGACATAATTACAGCCCATTAGAAATATGTTTTATATTCATATCCATAGTTAAACAGGGATAGTGGATGATATTGATATCCAAATGGTGCTTCACTTTAAATGTTGTGTCCGTAAGTAATTGTGGGACGGCTTTCTCTTCTTTCCTTTGGTAAAGGACGAACCAGTGTCTCCTTAAACGAGATCCGAAATAAAGCATTGAAGCATCTTTCCTTAACATTTAGAGAATTCAAACCTAGGAACCTTCCTAAGCAAACAAGATTATTCGACTGGAGCCAATGTATTGTCTTGATTTGTTCTTCCTTCTCATTTATGGCAAACGAGGCGAGGGAAGTGCATTGCTGCCTCTAGCCGGTTAAAATCCAGCCAAAAGTGGTCAATCTAGTTGCATGCAGGGATGTATTTAAGTGCCAGGTGTGAACTGACATACTGCTCTCTTACACAATCCTGGGCCAGAAGAAAATCATAATGTTCCCCTTTTTCATTACTTCATCATCCCCTTCTTCCTCATGCTACCCGCTTGTGCCTCCTGTCTCCATCTCCCTCTATCCTCAGCCCTACTACAGGGCACCTCACACGCACTTCAGAGCACATACAGAGAGAACGGTTGACAAGTAGCTTAACAAAAGCACTTTAACAAGAGGATGTGGCAGTTTGAAAAGAAAGTGGAAATGCAATTTGATGTGCTTCTTGGAAAATAGCCTTCCAATCTGAGTGTTTCGATTCATCCCTGGCCACACTGCCAGATGACCACAATCAGGGCTCACAGTCTATATTAGCAACACAGTGGAGAAAGGAAGTGTCCAAATATTGCTGGTGTTGGTGTTGGCAGCCCAGCTTCTGTATGAAAGGACAGGCCTTTAAACATCAAATGTATCACCTGAATGAGCACATGTTGAATAATGAATGTCCAACATAGCACAAATGTTCAACAATTTGTTATGACATTAAAGTTGGGGTAGGTAAGTTTGAGAAACCGGCTCGAGATACACTTTTTGTTATATTCCATGGAATGCTCATAACATTCCCGATAGCAATGAATATCTTAAGTGCTTTGACAAAAAATCCATCAAAAAATGTCATCTGTGGAAGCCGTAGTAGTGTAAAAGCACGACCAATCATTTTAGCCGGCCCGGCTAAAATAACTGGATGGCCTACCTGCCTGTCAGCCTTCCATCTGTGCACAAACTTATCTCGTGCCCTCATTGGTCATGTGCGCGTCTGTGTGTGTTGGAGGAGGGGCTCTGTAAGGAAGTGGCAGAT